TGATTTCTAGAACTCCTAATGATTTGATGTGGTTTTACATCTTTCTTGTCCTTGTGTTCATCTCCCTTTCAGTCATTAGGAATCTAAAATGTGAATCCACTGTTATCCCCCATCCCCCAAAATTCTTACTCCGTAGAGGCCCAAGCTTCTTGTGACTTCGAGTAACTCCCATCTCATTTTACCATTTGCTTCCCACTTGACTCTCTAGAGACTGGTCTTGAACACAGATGTTGTCACCTCTGTGACTGTTCTTCTACTCCATGGCCCAACACGTCCTCTTAGCGATTATTTTCACCTGACTCTGCCCTTCTTCTCATTTAAAACTCAGCTCAGGAACCTCCTACTTTACAAAGCCAATGGGTTAGAAGCATTTCCTCAGTGGTCCAATGATATACACTCTATGACTAAGCATAACCTGGCTTCATGATTCTGCTTGTCTGTGACTCTCCTCTCAGATTTACTGAATACTTACCAAAAAATAAAACAGGCCAGTATTTCTCTAATTTAGACCACTTGCATTAAAATCATCCTAGAAGCTTGTCAAAAAAATGCCTTCCTAAACCCTACCCAGGACCTACTGAATCAGAATCTCAGAGAGGACCACTCTGTAAAATTAAGATTTGAGAAACACTGGCCTGTGGGACGAGATGGTAAGGGTAACCAGAGCTCACCTGGGTTGTAAGTGTGATGCTTCTAGTGCATACCCCAGTCTACTTGGGGCTGGAGCTCAGCCCCTTGCCAGTTTTCACAAGGAGGCAAATTACACTGTGCACTGGGTGATCTCTGCACACACTACTCTAGATGAGACACATCTTTTATGGGCCAACTTTCCATTCTCTTGCTCCCCTTATCTTTTTATTTTTTCTTCCTATCTTCCAAGTCTCCCTACCCCTACTATTACCTTCTTGGGATGATCTGGGCTTGACTTTTTCCCCCCTACAAAATATAGCACCAACAGGATCCAAAATATATGTAAGAAATACCAAACAGTACATCATGACTGTGTGACTGAATATGCATCTTCATAGCTACACAGACATATTTGATACTTGCCACCACGATTTGCTTAAAGAAGCAATCAGCTAGGAAAGTTTATACAGCAAAGAACACACACGTGTGTGTATGTGTGTGTGTGTTTTAAAAATAAGGTATGTACTGTCCTTTCATTTTAGTTGGCAGAAATATAAAAGTGCAAATTCTGTAAATAATTGACTTATATAATACGCAACAATAAATATTCTAATTTCCTGTGACATCTGAAAGTAATAGTTCTTTACTCAAATACTTAACTATCATGTGCTAAAATAAAAAAGATACCTAACCCAATAAAAGGAAAATCTTAAAATATATTAACCACAAAGGTGCATATTACATATTACTTATTATTAGACCATGCCTCCAAGTATGTCAGATTACAAATGTGGCCAGAGTACATAAAATATACATTACAGATTTCTCTCATCAAAGGCACAATCTAATACAAAAATATATTTGACACTTATAAATTAGATCCATTTGAGAGCCTCCAAAATAGGAAAGGGGAAGGGGAAGGAGTGATGCTAACATAAAAAACACACAGATGCAAAANACTTATAAATTAGATCCATTTGAGAGCCTCCAAAATAGGAAAGGGGAAGGAGTGATGCTAACATAAAAAACACACAGATGCAAATAGTTCCACTTATATGATTATTTTCTTCATCAGCGAGGGGTAAAGAGCAATTTACACCAAACTAAGTTTCCAGGCAGATCACAGTAGTTCTCAGGTTGGAGAAGTCACGGTACACAGGCCAGATAACTGTTGGAATTACTAAAAAAAATGCACTCAGATTTCAGTAATCTAATGGTACAGAGTACTAGCCATGTGGTTTTGTTGGAGTCTTCAGAGTCACCATCGACCGCTCTCCATGCCCTACCACCATGTTAATATAGAAAAGCCACAAGGCTATCCTGCACCAAGCCTGAGAGTTTATTAACAGGCCTGTCCTTTCACTACTGAAGAAAAACCTACTGGATGGCACTGTCTAGCTGTCTATTCTGTTAAGTGAACCGAACACAAACTTAGTTGAAATCCTGAAATCTGTCTGGAGGAACGAACATTTTTTAAAGCAGTTAATGCAGGAACAATTTTTTTAAAGTTATGAAGTACAGGTCTTTCTGTAATCTTTGCTGAATAATAGTTCAAACAATATTTGAACTGAAAGTTCAAGTGGGAACTCTGAGGCAACACCTTCATGATCTGGAAATGCTCCACAACCCTGAGATGTCTGCCACATATCCTGTAGCCAAGACAACAGCAAAATGGCAAGAGCCATGTTTTAAAGATTCATAATGTTCTTCCCTTCAAATTAGATGAAACCAGGTATCCAGTATTTCTAGACACTAATTTTTCTCTTCAGCAAGTGTCTACTTGGCTTGGGGATCTACTCATTCTCTGAATGCAGGATAGCGTTCTTTTCTCTCTGGCTAGTATGTAAAATCCATGCAGGATTCACACCAGAAAGTCAATGTGAAGAAACGCTTTGGAGGTGAGGAAACATGAAGATAATTTAGCCAAAGTCGGTGAAGAATAATCATTTCTTTCCAAGGTATTATCATCCCATCAAAACCAGATTAGCCCGGCCGGGCGTGGCTCAGCGGTTGAGCATCGAACTAGGATCCAGGCGATCAGGGTTCGATTCCCGGTCAGGGCACATGCCCGGGTTGTGGGCTCGATCAATGACTCTCTCATCATTGATGTTTCTGTCTCTCTCTCTCCCTCTCCTTTCCTCTCTCTAAAATCAATGAAGATATATATAAAAAAAAAAATTATTTAAAAAAACCCACAAAAACATTAAATAGATTAAACCTGCCAACATTCTGAGCTGCTCTGCCCATGTTTTATTTTGAGAAAAATAAAAAGTATTAACACTGCATAAGATCATGCTTCAGCTAAAAGGATATGTAAATAAATGAAACCCCAAGATGATACACTTTAGCTCAATATAAATTTTTTAAAAATCTAACCTTAAGATTGAGACAAGCTAGTCTCACAGTTATGCTAGAAACTCTTTAAGTGACTGAGGTATTTTGACTCTTCAAATCCACAGTACTGGACAAAGGCGTAAATTAAATGACAATTAAGATGAGCAACAAAGGATTAAAAAATAACTTTGAATTCCTTTTATAATATAAAATAACCAGAGCTAAGGGAAAAATTATGAAATCCTGGCAAAAATATACCAAATCCTTTACGAGCAAATATTTGAGGCAAAAAAACCTATGTTCATTCAAGAATAACCTTTTTAAGTAATACGTTAAAAGATTTTCAAAAGTTGGTAATTACACAATTTATCACAAAGAAAGGGAAACTCCTAAAATGTGGGCATTACTGATTTAGTCCCGGGGTGGGGAACCTTTTTTCCGCTAAGGCCATTTGGATATTTATAACACCACTCGAGGGTNGAAACTCCTAAAATGTGGGCATTACTGATTTAGTCCCGGGGTGGGGAACCTTTTTTCCGCTAAGGCCATTTGGATATTTATAACACCATTCGAGGGTCATACAAATTATCAACTTAAAAACTAGCCTGCTATATTTGGTCAAACATTTAATTAACTCACCCCTAATGTGATGGCTGGAACTGCTTCTCTTTGGTGAGGCCTTGGGAGGGCCAGACCAAATGATTTCACAGGCTGGAAGTTCCCCACCGGACAGACCAGGCTTTCTAATAAATTAGCAAAACAGTTATACCTTTGGCTGTAAAACTATTCTCCATTTGCTTCTAACTTGGTTGACTTTCATAGGAAAAAGGTTCATCACTTTGAAACATTTTGTAGACAATCTGGAGATAAATATTTTGATGACACAACTGCAGCTGTAATTGTTTTTTAATAAGGAACACGGACTTCTGGGTTATTAACATATTTTTTACAATAAGAGAATATTTGCTTCATGGTCTGGAGACCTGCCTTCTATTCACTGCTCCACTGATGACAGGAATAATTAATTGGGATAAATCAATGAGCCTTTTGGTGCCTGAGTTTCATGGTCTGGACAATGGGGATAAAAATATCTGGGCCACATTCTTCACAGCAGTAGCTTGAGGGCAAAGGAAAACACTAGAAAGCACTTTATTTTTTCAAAACACAATATAAATGCTATGTCATGATATTGTTAATAATTTTACAGGTACCTCTTAGCGTTTACCCGGTCAGATGTGTGCTTAAGGTAGGCGTTCCTACAAGATCACAGGTTGAATATTTAGCTTGATTTTATTTTAAAAATAATAAATCACAAAACTAAAAGGTTTGAACAAGGTCACTTAACCCTCTCCCCAGGTTGTTAGTTATAATTACTATTATCGTCATTATTATTACTTTTTAGCTAGATCTTTACTATGTCAGCCTAACTGGGGAAATTTCGTGTCCCTGGCACAGGTGGTTTTCAGAAGAAAAGCCGATCTTTGCATGAGCTGTGTCCTCTGCTTGTATTTTAAAGTGCAGAACCCAGGTGGGAAGAGACAGAGCAGGGGCTCCGGGTCTGTCACTGAGGAACCAATTCCCTCAGAGAGGCCAGCGCGGCATGGATGCGGACATGCAATCTGTTTTCAAAGTCGTAGCCAGAGAAATCCTCCTGTAAGACCGAAGCAAGATATTTATGGACTCTCCTGGCTAAGTTTCCTGAAATTCTGCAGCATAAAACACAGTAAGTTTTGTATTTCCCAAAGTAAATCCCTCCCACTCCCACTGAAGGCTCTACGTCCACTTGATTTGCTTATTTCCTAAACGTTGAGCTTTGTGGTCATTTTTAATATGCCACTGAATGTCAATGCCGCCTTTGTAAAATTTTCCTCGTGTGATTCCTCACATGGTAATCTTAAACTGTGCTCAATGTAAGTTGCTGTTGGAAAGTTTCAATTCAAGAATGAATGTAGTTATGAAACATCAAAAGTTCTTTTCCCACTCAAATAAGAAGAGTGTTTATAAAGCAGGATGAGCAATTTCATAGGAATATCTTAGGATATCAGTAATTTCACTTAAAGATCAAGTGCTTGCTGATTCAATTATCATCACTTTTCCTTTCCAGGAATATCAATCATTTCACAAAATTTCTTGAATTCACTTCAAGTGTACAGAGGATAAGGGCCACTGGTAAGAGGGAGATTCAGTATTTTTACCTTTGCTTGAAGAAGTAGAGTTCTGCCTCTTGCCACAGTCTATGAATGTAAAAAAAACATACACATCTCTCAACACCTATATTTACAGATACTCAAGTAGAAAAAGTTTTAATAGGAAGATATGCTCATTAAAACAATTCAAAGTCACAGAGGTGAGTCAACTGCTCCTTAAATGAAGACTCAACTTTTCTTTAATATAGTGAAGCTAATAAGTTTACATCAAGGCAATTTTTCATAATCTTCACTGTAATTCTATAAACAATAACAACTTATAAGAGTTATAATAGTCTAGGCTAAGATCTTACTAAATAACCTAAACTTGGTGATAATTAAAAGGTTTATTTGAAGTCAATAAGTTATATCTCCTCATATATTTAAGGGCTACATATTTAAGGGTCATGCTACAATCATATTTCTGTTGATTTAACTCAACTTTTAAAAAGTCCATATATTTGACAACTGAGTTGAACTTACTAAAAATTAGAATTTTACAAAGCCAATACTATGTAACTGAAGCAAATCCAGCACAACTGAAGTCCTATTTTTAAAAACCTGCCCCAAAATACTTATATATACACATTTTTACAGTAATTATCTACTTAAATTTATAAGCTATTCTAACATTTTTAAAGTAATTATAAACATCATCCTCATTTATTCTCACTACAATCTTTTATCTCGTTTTACAGATTAGGAAGAAAGTATGTGGTTAAGTAACTTAACCAGTGTCACACACTAAAGTCAATGGCAGAGCTGGAATCACAATGCAATTCTGTGCTCTTCTGCATAGCCCACACGGCATCATATCATTCCATTCTAAAAATGGCAAAAATTTTCCCTCAAATTTTTGTCCAAAAATCTAATTCCAGAGAATAAATTATCTCCTAAACAGAATTAGTAGCTTCTTGGACACATCCTGCGTGAAATAAAAATAACAAAAAACAACACTGTTTCATCCATTTCTTTTAAGTGAAGGCTGCTTTGTGCCTGCTCACGTCCACATTTTTGGTGATGAACTTTTATTTAAGAAAATACGTAAGATCTTACCTCTGGTTTGTCTAATAGAAGACAGCCAAGTTCATAACAAGCATATGGCTGAATATATAAATTATTCTGACGACACAACTCATCTTTAGCAGCTCGCTGAAAGAACTGAAAGTAAAACAAATATCATTGGTATTAACTGATTTCCCCAATTAGGCTCATTTCCTACTTAAGGCTCATCACATCTTCAGGATGCAAGCAGGGGGCTCACCTGATTTCTGATTCTATACCAGATTTCCTCCGCATCCTGCATCTTTATTCCTCCCCTCCATCCTCACCTATGTCTTAGAAGTTCTTGACATGCTTGTCTGGTGAGCTTCCTCCAGCATGTGCCACCCACCGGCCAGCCCCATGTGGACTGCCTGCTTTTCCAGCTGACACGCTAGCCTCTACTGGTTTTACTGCTGAGAACGTCTTTATCTGCCTCTAAGTCAGAACATCCCACTTCAACATTTAAAACAAAGTATGCAAGCACACAAGCCAAGACCCATCTCTTGACATATGTCTTCATTGTATCTTGCTGATACTTAAGCATATTGTCAAAAATAAGCTATTCAGGGCTGTATAATCACTATCATACCCCACAATGAAATATTAATTTAAAATAAGAATACAAGTACATCAACACTCTAGGATTTAAAAGCCAAAATCTCCTATTACTGTGCATGAACTTTCAAAAAGTAATCAGCCCAGCCGGGCGTGGCTCAGCGGTTGAGCGTCGACCTAGGATCCAGGCGATCGGGGTTCGATTCCCGGTCAGGGCACATGCCCGGTTGCAGGCTTGATCAATGACTCTCTCATCATTGATGTTTCTATCTCTCTCTCTCCCTCTCCTTTCCTCTCTCTGAAATCAATAAAGATATATTTAAAAAAAAAAAAAAGTAATCAAAATAACACTGGGATATACTTTAAAAAAGCTAACCTAACAAAAAAAACTCAGAAAAGTGCCTGCAACTCTATTTGAAAATAATGAACAGTTCTTTCATATAATATGTGCACAGAATATTCTAAACCAACAACTTTCAGTCATGCATCAGGAATCCACAGTTACAGAGACAGAAAAAGTGCACACACGCTGACACACCTAATAAATACATTTTTGTACTTATCTAACTATGAAACTTCACTCTGCTCCTTCAAATCTGTGTTCACACTTCCCCCTCCTCCAACTTAGACTGTCACCTTTGGTAAAAAGCTCGTACTAGACAAACGAAGGCTGTATGTGAAGAACTGGAGGAACCTGAGGGTACATTAACAACTAGCATTAACCATCACCAAGTTGAACACAGTAGATAAAGCTCACATTGCTGTGGGAGGTTTGGTTTTGTTCAGTGCGTACACATTTTTCTTATTCCCAAGCACACGCACAGGTTTTCCCAGCTTATTTCCACAGCCATGACAACACTAACAGTTTACCTGAACAGCATCTTCCGAGTTTCCCAGACATTTGTGTATGGCACCCAGGAGCAAATACTTTAACCCGACCACAGATGAGTCGTCTACTGCATGGCAAGCTTAAAGAGAAATGAAAAGAGCAGGAAGGAAATACGTTCACTAATTCCTTAAACATCATCAAGAGTTCAATATTTCATTGTTTACACTTACTCCATTCACAATTCCATCCCCTGAAAACCAGAAGGCTCCCCTTCCTCAGTTNCCCCTTCCTCAAAGAAAGACAAAGATACCCAACTTTAGAGGCCAAGAGACTCAAAACTGCACTACACTGTTACTAAGAGAAAGAAGGCAATCTGAAAAGACTACGTATTACATGATTCCAACTGTATGACATTCTGGGAAAGGCAGAACTATGGGGGCCGTAAAAAGGTCAGTGGCCGCCAGAGATCCGGGGGGAGGGAGGGATGAACGGGTGGAGCACAGGGGATTTTTAGAGCAGTGAAACTATTCTGTATGATACTATCTGTAAGCGTGGACCATGTCGTTACACATTTGTCAAATCCCACAGAATGTGCCACACAAAGAGTGAACCTAATGTAACTGTGCACTTTGGGTGATAATGATGTGTCAGTACTGGTTCATCAGTTGTGCCAAATGGTCCACTCCGGTGGGAGATGTTGACGGCTGGGGAGGGGCAGTATGTATGGGGGAAGGGAGCTATGTGGGTATCTGCTCAATTTTGCTGTGAACCTAAAACTGCCCTAAAAAATAAAGTACATTAGTATTTTTAAAAATAGTACATAGTTTATCATATTACTGTCATAAACTATGCGATGGGCACCTTGATATGTTTGTATGTGTACTGCCTTAGTCACTGAGAAGGGATGAGACCTGATCCCTCTACTACAAGAAGCTTGCATCGACCACGTAGGATGGGAACACAAGTGGGGATGCTATGGAAGTTTTCCAAGGAAATGAAAAAAAGTAGAAATTGGAAACATAGTGGAGCTAATAAAGGAGGAAAGGAAGTAATTATTTCTATAGACCAATACAGATACTGAGATTTGGTAAGATTTTATAAATACACACACACACACACACACACACGAATGTGTGCATATACAGATAACTGGAAGGCACTGGAAGAGTTGGGTAGAGTGGCAGGAAGTAAACGTGAAGAACAGAACCTGAACCTATAGAAGCAGCAGTTGCCTCAAAAAGCTAGGCTGGGAATACCTCCATATACAAAGTACTCAAATGATCTTAAGGCAGAAGTATTAAGGAAACGGGAATGCAGTTCATGCACTCACTCATTCTGTCATCATTTACTGAGCACCTACTATGTGCTAGAAAGTTCTAGGTGCTTGAAATATAGCAGAAACAAAATAGAAAGAAAAAAACCCCTGCCCTTAAGAAACTAATCTTTTGTGGAGAAGAGAGTCGATACAAAAAACAAATAGGTAGAATACCTATGTTAAAGAAGCGTTAGTGCTAAGGTAAAAAATAGAGCCAGGATGGGGGATGGAGGGTAATACACGCATGTCAGAAAGGTCCAGTTTAAGCCTCACAGCAAAGGTGACATCTGAGTGAAGACCTAAAGGAAATGAATGAAGAAGCCGTGTGGATGCTTGAAAGGGCATTTGCAGGACGGAAGAAGCTCGTGCAAAGGCACCGAGGCCAGCACGTGCCTGGCGTGTTCAGGGAGGAGCGCGGCTGGAGCCTGGCGAGCGAGGCAGCGCAGCGAGACGCAATGTGTGTGCAGACTGCAGGGCCCTGCAGACCCCTGAATGAACCTGGGTTTTTACACTGAATGAGGTGATGCCATGGTGATCCCAAACTGCGAAATAACATGGGATGATTTAGTTTAATAGGATGACTGGAAGGGAAGAATGCAGACGCATCTTCAAAATGGAAGAACGCAATGGATGGGAGGGTGCGTGGATGAAGGGTTATAAATGAAACCACAAGACAAGGGCATATGAATCCAACTAGCTCTGCTGCTAAAGGGAGTCAGATGAAAAGAGCTTAGGAAATGCATATGATCACCACTCACCCACTGCCAGTTTTCTTCTGAAACTTAACCTTTCCCTACAAAGATTTTCACTGTACTCCATATGGATCATTACTGCTTAACACGGAGGAATGATTTAATCTAATTAAGGGAGCTTAGAACTGGGCAAACTTTTAACAAAGATGTTAAGGAATCATCTCATCTTCACTCCCTCTCCATGACCACACCTTTGTTCATTTGATACCCAGAAAGGGGTTCAGAGAATATCTGGTCACATTAAGTGACTGTCGTTCTTGTGCCTGCCAATTACTGCCCATCTTATATTTGCAGTTTGAATTATCTCTAAATACATGGTCCTGCACTTGTGCATTAAAAGGATATTTAAATTCCTTTATTGTTCCTCTGTTAGACATCAGTAGATATTCTAGACTTGCATGGACAGCTAGGGGTGTGTTTAAACTTCAGTGTATCTTTGTAAATGGACACAGAAGAACTTGTGCATCCAAGAAAATGTTTCCTTTCAAACAGTCCCACCGGAGGGTTACACACCTACTTTAATCTCAGGGCCTCTGCGCACAACTTCTTTTGGAGTTGCATTATTTTATTCTCCAGGATGTTAACACTGAAAAAAGTTTTGAGCTTTGAGGGTGGCATCTGCAGGGAAGTCCGATGATAGAAGTACGTGATTCAACGGATAATGCTGTTTTATTATCAAAAAACAAGTATGGTTGTAGAAAAAGCTGACAAATTTTCTACAGTGACTAACAGCTATTTCTGAGTAAGTCCAAAATGTTAACGCTAAATCTCCTTTGAAAAGGGGCAGCATATATGTGACTAAGCACACAGTTCCAAAGAGGATTCCTTTCTATGAAACCATGTTTTGGGATGTGAGTGCTTGTATTTTAACACAGCAGTCTCACCCTATAATCATACATCCAGCTGCATGATATAAGTATCTCCATGCTCGAGGAAGACACAGCTGTGAGTAGGATGGCTCGAAGCTTTGCCACTCAGTGTTTTCCTCAGACCAGCAGCACTGACACTGGCTCCTATGGGAGCTGGCAAGTCACCTGACCGCCCCGACTTTCGAGTTCCTCATTATAAAATGGGTGTGACAACCGTGCCCGCCTTTCCCATCTCCCTGGGCTCCAGTGCGGAGCAAACTAAGGACTCTGCCAGGCTACAAATATCATCCAAATGGCTGCACGAAACCTTGAGGGGAAATGCCACAGTATTTATTTAATAACCAATAAGGCATTATTTTACTTAAAGAGTTAGTTTATTCGGTGAACTCCTCCTACAACTATAATACAAATGACTTCATGAAGGTTGTATTACCATAACCTATGGACTTATGTTTTTTTAAAATCTGTGAATCAGAAATGTAGGTTTCTACTTACACTCGTAAGTTATGTACACTCAAGAGAAATGACCACGTCATATCCACACCAAAAACTGGTACACTTGTGTCGGAAGCAGTATCACTTATGAGCTGAAAAGCCAGAGGCAAACCCAACGCCCGTGAGACAGGGAGCGAGTCAGGCGGGTACGGCAGAGCCGTACAGTGGAGCACACTCGTAACGGAAAGCAGCGAACGGCGGACACCGGCTGCAGGGGGTCAGGCTCACGGGTCACGATAAATAAGCCAAGCACTAAAAAGGCCACACTGTCAGATGCCCCTTATATGAGGTGCAAGGACAGGCAAAAGTCGCCTTGGAGAGAGGTGGGGAGAGATCGCCTGGGCGCAGGAACTGACCGGGAAGGGCGCAGGGGAAGTCTCAGGGGTGATGGAAATGTTCTATATCTTGACTGTGGCGGTGGATGCCACGGTGTGTATGTCTGTCGGTGCGTTTTAATGAATGAAAATCAAACCAGTAAGAAACAAAGGGCCTTCCTCGGGAAAAACATGCTCCCGGCAACCCCAGGGCTAGGGAATGCAGAGCACTCCAGTCGTGCGCATCACCAAACCCTGCTGACAACCCGAGCACATCTGCGCACTCCGGCCTCCCACTCCTGACACCTAGGTGACTGCTTTTTCTTAATCACTGCACCAATTACCCAAGAATGACAGCTCTGTACCGAGTCAGATAATACTAGTGAGAAACCAAAGAAAGCAGGCCTGAAGAAACCAGCCGACGTGTCCAGTTTTGTGTGCTATTGTTCCTACCTTGACTCATCCTCTGGAGGTTGGGGAAGGAGCAGTTGGGAAGGGCTTTCCACAGGTACAACACCTCGATGGAGGCCAGCACACACAGTGCTTTGGTTGGCATTTGTTTCCTAAATCTCTCTGCCTGCAAGCAGTTAGCATGATTAGGGTCCATTTTTTGAAAAAAACAAATTCAAATTAAAAATATGCTTCGGAGACATTTAACAGTGCACAGTTCATATTTGACATGAAACAACCCCTTCCTACAGAGCTAAAGAGGAAAAATGTTCTATAAAAAAAATTTTGCTTTCCAACTTTTAATATATTGGTAGCTATGCCTTCCATTTCTTATTCAACTCAATCTATTATCATGATTCAGGTTATATTCTGAAAACTGCGGGATGAAACTAGATCTATTTCAATTTAGACCAAAGGGACTTATAAAAGCTGGGCGACAAGAACTCAATGGGTTTGTAAGGAGTATGTAAAACTAGATGCCTTTTAGCCACGGTTTTATTGAATTTTTAATGTTCTACCAAAGTTGCAGTGCTCTCAGTGGCATTCACATTACAACCTAGTTTATACTCAAACTAAGCTACTGAATGCTCATTCAATAAAAATTTATAAAACAAAAATCATGGAACACTTAGGATATGACAAGGTGTTATGCAACCCATAATTTAGCTAAATTTTATTCTTTAAATCTGGGGGTGGGGAACTTTTTTCTGCCAAGGACCATTTGGATATTTATAACACCTTTCATGGGCCATACAAAATTATCAATTTAAAAATTACCTATGAATAAAGCTCCTAGATTTATTGAATTTAGAGTCATTCTGCTGTTGTTGCCTTGGCAGGGCCAGACCAAACGATTTCTCGGGCCAGCCTGAGGGCTTGACATTCCCCACTCCTGCTTTAAAGTATAGGATAAATTAGAGACATTGTCCCTATAGTACTGGGCCTTTCTCTAGTACATTCGATGCACACTATTTTTTTTTAATTAGGTCAAAATGTGACATGTCCACTATATTGAGAACCAACAGTCTGTATCTCTTGCCAATTTGTATTCTTCTGAAACTACCTAACTCTAATTTAGACAGATGCTTTCCCTTTCCAGATATGCTCATTTGCTCTGTGGGATCTGTAATATCCCTACTCACTCAAAAAATAAAAATAAAAAAATCAACCCACAAATGTTTTAATTACCTGCAGCAAAACATGCGCTTTCCATTCAGAGCACAAGTATGACCACAGGAGTGAATTCTCCCCACAGTGGTGAGCTGCATTTTGCATGGCAAGTAAGCTGTCAACTTTAAATATATGATTTCCTAAAACCTGTCGAAAGCAGTGTTGGCTACAAATGTCCATTATAAACAATACCCCAGATCAATAGGCCCCAACATACCTTTTTCACTGAGAACTGTTCAATCTGATTGTTTTTCCTTTTGAAGAGTTTCTGAACTTCTTTAAAGACAATCTGTGCCCCATCCACATCGCCGGTGGCCCCCTGACAAACTGTAAAAAACAGTCATTGTATTTCTTCAGTATTGGTGGAAAATGCGACTAAGGGTTATCTAGGCTGGTGATACTTGGAAATGTTACCAAAGAAAAAAATGGGAGCAAATATTTTAAAAGACTGTTACACAAAGGACTACACCATCCTGCCGATCATCATTCCACCAATTTAACAACTATTTTCCAGGTGCTGGGTTCCCAGAGCTTTGGCGGGACATATGGGAAGGCCACAGTCCTAGTCTTCTTGCTGGGGAGATAGTCTTGTATGCAACAAAATCACAGTTCAGTGGGAGTCCACATGCTCAGAAAGTAGAAAAAAAGGAATCTAGGAAAAAGCAAGGAGGAGCCAATAGGATCGTGAAAGCTTCAGGGTAGAACATCCCTGTGCCTGGAAAGAAAGTCATGAAAAACCCGACACAGGTTCATCGGCATCTACAAGCCACCAGCAAGAATGTGAAGAAAAACACACATGCTTGCAACCTGAAGAAACGTAAATTTCAGTCTCATAGCTACAATGTTCAAAATGATCCAAGTCTTCAGAGTAGGAAAACCCAAGCGCTTTTGGGAAAGCTCGGAAAGGAAGGGGTCATTTCTCCTTGGAGTGATCAGGGAAGCTTCTGGTGTCGAGCTGAGCCTTGGAGGGGGTAAGATTTTGACAGTCTGCACACCATCCTCTCCCACCCCAAGCCCCGAGCCAAGCCTTAAAAAAAAAAAAAAAGTAATTCTGATACATATTACAACATACATGATCTCTGAAGACACGCTAAGGTAAAATAAGCCAGACACCGAAGACAAATACTGTATGATTCCACTTACACGAGGTACAGAAGAATAGTCAGATTCATAGAGACAGAAAATACGATGGTGGTTGCCAGGGGCTGGAGAAAGCGGTTAATGGAGAGTTGTTGTGTAATGGGTGCGGTTTCAGTTTGGGATGATAAACTGCTGGAGGCAGATCATGGTGGTAGCTGTACGAAAAGTGTGGATGTACTTAATGCCACTGGACTGGACGGTTAAAATGGTAAAAATGGTTAAAATAGATTTTATGTTACAGATATTTTACCACAACTTAAAAAAATATACAAGGGACTAAGCCCGTGGGGGCAGTTTCTGGTCCCTGAATGCCCATCCTCTCCAGCTGTGCCTGTCAGCATGCACGCGTCCTGCACAGCCAGCTCCGAGGCGGCTCCTGCAAGACGCTGTCTCTGATGGCCTGACAGCGTGGTCCTTCCCTTCCCCACGTGCTGCGTGTAGTGGAGCTATTCACACATCTTATCTTCGGCACAAAATCCCCTCAGAGAGGCCCAGACTAGAGTCTTCCACGCTTTATCATTCTTACACCTGGTATAGTCCTGGGACTTCCAGTCTTTGGAAAATAAATGCTCTTTATAACACACTGTACATGTCTCTCTCCATGTTCTATGCTCAGCTAGATTTAAAAAAAAAATAGCTGCCCAAAATGACTACCTGATCCAGTTATACCTTGACAACTGTTGGGGTGTTGTGTAGGCCTCTCTTATTTGGCTCATTGACTCCTGAACGTGTCGGATCTGCTGAGGCCACTTAATAAATAGCTGCTAATTACATCTTTGTCAAAAATTATTTGAGCATATTTGTCTGGGTACATTTTTGGGTTCTCTGTTCTGTTCCATTGATCTATGTGTCTGTCCCTCCATCACTACCACACTGTCCTGATTACTATAGTTAAACAGTAAGCCTTAACATTGGGAAGGAAGAATGATTTCTCCCATTTTTTCAAAATTATTCTGACTACTTAAAGGCCTTTTTTAAAATATGAATTTTAACATAGGGCTTTCCATGTTTACAAAAAAGCTTGCTGAGACTTTGATAGTAATTGTATTAAACCTATAGATTAATTTGAAGAAAATTAACATATTGACCATGCTGAGTCTTCTAACCTATGAACATGGTACATCTCTCCCATTATTTTGGTCTTCTCTGTCTTTTATCAGCATTTTGTAATTTTCAGCATACAGAGCCTATACATGCTTTCTTAGATTTATACCAAAGTATTGTATTTGACTTCCTGTGGAGCAATTGTAAATGGTATTGTGTTCTCAAATTTGATTTCTACTTTGTCGTATTTGTAAATACAATTAATTCTGTGTGTCAATCTTGTATTATTACTGAAGTCACTTATTAGTTTTTGGAGTGTTTTTTTTTTAATTTGATTCCTTGGGCTTTTCTATGTAGATAATCATGCTGTTTGTAAATAGACAATGTTTTATTTTTTTCTTAAAAACAAACAAATAAATAGCTGCTACTTTCATCTGAGATGCCTGAAAACTCTATAAAACAACTCTTAAAGTGTGAGACACAGTACACTAACCAGCATATTGAAAATAATCCTATTCAAACATAAGTTACAGAGCTATACAAAAATGGATGTCCTGCTGGGATTGCAGAAGGCAGTGTGAGTGTGAGGGGATTTCATCCTGATTGCTAATGGATTGCAGCTTGAGAATATCCAGTATATACACACTGGCCACTGCTAATTCGGCCTTATTTTAAATAATTAGTTAAGGGTATGGAATGACATGAGATGTTTCATTAAATCCAAATATTCAGAGAAATAAGGAAATATTCAAAATAATATTTGAACTCATCTTAAATTTTAAGTAAATGAATCACTTAAATGGCTGTATACAGAGACTTCGTTGTTAGAGGCAGAAAATGGACAACCACCACTTGGGTTTCTTAAATTCCCACCTCTACAATTCTACATCACAGTGGCGCTTATGGATCTCAGGGCACAGACAACCCTTTTGCCCACCAGGTGGCAGCACAGCTTTAACTATCTCCTCATGCAAAGGCAAAAAGAAACCTTCACATCCATATCACAAATTACAGATGTCTCTGCTATAATGATATGCAGTTTTGAAATATCTTGTGTTCTGCACAATCACACTATGAATAGAACAGGGTTAACAGGTAAAACAAGGTTGGAGCAGTTACTCAAAATCTATGCAACCTGGTAACCAAGGCACTAACAATCTTTAAAAAAGATATAAACACAACAAAAAAGACATGTTAAATTCTTAAAAATTCTTTAAATTCCCAATAAATAAAAAATATATATTTTTAAAAATAAAGCAGAGGGGTAAGGGTAGGTTGCTGCTTAGGACAAAATGCACAGAAACAGGGAGAACCTGGCAAAAGCATTTCCAAGACAGAGAATGTGACCAAACCAGCCCAGAGAGGGGTGCAGGGGAAGGGCCCAGTGCGTATTGCTGAAATGGTCAGAGAACACTGCGTTATGCTATTTGCTTGGTAGCACAAAACATTAAGGTGCTGGAGAAAACTGAGGAAGAGCACAGCTTCTGCCTTCCCCTGCCATTACTGTCCCATCTGCAGGCGCGTGTGAGCTAACTTATATCAGAAGCAGTCTACTCACCCGCAGTTAAGTAGGCATAATAGCACTGGGACCACCTGGACTCATTTTTCAGCCTCTCAAAGGAATCGAATGCATCCTTGAAATTCAGCTCTATCATGCTGCACCAACCTATGAAAGAAACATTGTTAGTGCACAACCTGTAGTGAGCTTCATATCCCATCTCTAAGCTACGTATCTCCAGTCCTGTTATCTTTCTCTGTGGGTGTTGTATGCACACTACCTGAAAACATTTTTTTAAATTATTTTTTCTCTTAAACATTTTCAAAGTGCCATTTTGAATAAGACAAGGAACTTCTGATTTTACAACCTATTATGCAGTACGGAAGTGATGTGAAGATTTCTATGAAAACACTCCAATTTGCCGCCTACAGTTGTAAGATGAACCCAAGCACAGCAGTACTTGTCCAAGAGTAGGCACAGAAAAAGCAATACCATGATGTTACAGTGACTACCTCAAAAAGTCTTAAAGCGCTCACTTGGTTGCTCATTAATGATGATTATTAATTCTCACACTGTTGAGAAGTAGAGAGCGAGCAGTCAGAAATTAAGTACTGGCTCATGTTCCCTCTGCAGGCTGGTAGTGGAGCTGAGAAAGGACCCCATCCTTGCCCGACCTAAACACCGTCAGGCTGGCACTCTGGTAAGGAACAGCAAGGAAAATGAGAGGAATTTTATCCCCACTGCTGTAACAGTATCTCCCATCCACCGAGCCCCTCTGTGTGGCCAAGGCCACTACAGCCTTGCAAAGGTGGCTGGTGGTGTGCTCACTTTACCAAGGAGAAAACCTAAGGCATGGAGGTCCTGCGACTTGCTTGAGGCCACACAGCTAACAACAGGGAAAACAGGAAGAAATTTTAAGCAAATAACTATTTATTTATTTAAGCAAGTCTGTTTATAAATTCATCTCCAGGAGGGGAAGCAGCTAACGTGTGGAGGGCCTTCTGCATGCCAGGCCCCCTGCCTGATGCTCATGGTGTTACTTAATCTAAACCTAACCACTGCTACGAGGGAAGCACCTTAGCTCCAATGGCAACCACCAGGGTGCATGCAACTCGTCCGAGGTCCCTGAGCTAGCTGGCAGAGAGCTGGGGTTGGAATCCACATGCCAGTCTCTCTCCTATGCTACATTTTTCTTCTCAGGTAAACACTGGTGGGCAGGAGGAGAAAACAGTTTTGAATTCTCATGTACAGTGAAATAAGGTATTTACAAATGGTTTTGAATCCATTCACTTAACATTGACTAACGCTGATAACACCTATTATCCTAAATTCAAAATATTATAAAGAATTATAAAGGAATGAGAATCACTGAGATAAGCATCATCACGTGTGCTATGGTAACAAAGGCCTACTACTGCAAAAAGGCAGCAAGCATTTTATAGAGATACAAACCTGAAGAGCATTCATAATGAAAAAGTACACAAGAATGTGTGACAAAAAGCTGGGTGTAAGCTGAATGCATTAACACTATTTCATGACAAGAAGCTGAACAGGCATTTCATATTTACCAATTTCATACAGACAGACGTGCTGGATTTCTCTCTGATCTATCGCGAGTTCCAGAGCAGTGTGGAAGGAAGTCAAGGCACTGTTGATTTGACACTGAGGAAAAAATGAAAATAAGTTACTGGCCAATCCCTGTCATTAACATTACACTTTCATAATTCAAAGCATCCTTTACCTTAATAGTTATTCAAAACTTACCGAGCAATATAGAAGAGTGATTTAAAGATTCCTGGGAAAACACTCCCCTTTGCCTCATACAGTTGTGAGATGAACCTAAGCACAGATTTCTTTGGTTCAGGCTGGAGATTCCACCAGTGAGGATTCAGCTCACGTCCACCTCCTCCTACAGCCCTCCCTTCAGACTTGTACTACAGAAACGGCTGTTATCATACTGTTTGCCAATCTAGCTCCTTGTTACCAGATAAACTGTACGGGCGCAAGGACTATATTTCATCTTCCTGTGTGTACCCACCTGGGACCCAGAAAGACTCCCAGTCAGTACTGACTGCAGGAAGCCACTCCATTAGTCCAGCCCTCAGCACTCTCTCCCTTTGCAACTCGCTCCCTCTCAACCATAGGAGTTTGATTCCACACCCTAGAATGCTGTCCTCTGATTGCTTCTGTTCGCCACATCTCCTCTCCCAACACTTAAGAAATTCTCTGAAATTCTCTGAGGGTCCAGTTACATTTCTGACTTTTGCATTTATCTAGTTCTGTCTAAAACCTAGACTCCTCAATATCTATTCTACTCATTCCTGATTGAATACGATGTGTTTCCTCCCGCTAACGGTCTCTCTCAACGTTGGCCAACCTGATGCCACAGCACCTGATCAGAGCACTGATAAAACATCACCAGGATAAGAAGGGTTAGATTAGCCCAGCTGGTGTGGCTCAGCAGTTGAGCATCGACCTAGGATCCAGGAGATCATGGTTCAATTCTCAGTCAGGGCACATGCCCAGGTTACAGGCTCAATCCCCAGAAGGAGCGTGCAGGAGGCAGCCGATCAANAAAACACCCCCCCCCCCCCCCCCCCCCCCCCCCCCCCCCCCCCCCCCCCCCCCCCCCCCCCCCCCAAAAAAAAAAAAAAAAAATTAAAAAAAAAAAAAAAAAAGAGACTACATCCTAAACTCAGCTGTGACTCAGCAGTGATGGGTGTTAAGCATCATGTGTCAATAATAAATATAAATCCTAACTGCCAAAGATCTGACATAGTCTGCTCTTACAGACACACTCCTAGGAGCAGTGCCAGCACTGCTCTCCCTGTCCGGCACTGGGCCCTCCTTTGTGCCTCCCTCTGCTGCTTTCTGCTGCTCCCTTTCCAAAGCCCCTTCTACCCTCTTTTCCCCCCAGGCAGCCAGGCAGGGGCATGGAGGGCCTTGGAAGAGGGCTGCCAGCTTCCCTTGGAAGTGGCCCCTATCACATTCCTCATCTCCTTTAGTGATGCATGGTCACCGTGGGAGGCCTCCTGGACACAATATACCTCACGGATGAGTCAGCCAGCAGATCTGCAGGACAGTCTGTGACTCAGGAACACTGTAAGCCAAATGACTCATTAACCAAGGCCATGCTGGCTCAAAAACTGTTCGTGCTCCATGGGAACACTGTACTCTGTTGTCAGGAAGATTTAGACTGTCGTGTTCAAGCCCTTCTCACCATCCACAAATGCTGACAGAAGATACACGTCACGGTACCACTAATTCCTCTTCTCAAGAGGCTTACCACATAGGGGGTCTCACAGAAATGTAAAAGGCCCGCACTCTGCAGTAAGACATGCACACTGATCGAAAAAAACAAGGCTAAAATACCAGAGGTGAAAAATCAATCCATCTTTTAGGAAGAGCATGTGTGTGGAGAGGGAGAGAGACCTGGACACTCATTACAACTATCTCTCACTTTTCCATTTCTCGGTCAACAGTTCTTTCCCTGTACCATACATGAACTAAATTTAGTATATTTACACAGAAACCAGAGTGTTAGTGATTCTCCATTCCATGCATCTGTACAGTTCACTAAGTCAATGACATTCAACTATCACACACAGGACACTTCTGGATAGCCCATCACTCCCAAGCTGTTTGATGCATGACAGTGCAATGACACAATACTCTTCAGAAGACACAAAACTACTCAGTGAACATTTATTTACTGGGCAACTGCTATGTACCTGGGATGGTACGAGGCTCTGGAGATACAAAAATAGTCAAAACAAAGCTTTGAATGCAAGTAAAGTAAAAAGAAACAAAGTAATATTTGTATCAGTGTCCTTTCTCTTAATTCTTTCAAAAACTCTGAGATAGACAAGTATTAGTTCCACTTTCAGATGAAGAAACTGAAGTTCAAAGAGGTTAAGTAGTTTGGTCAAAGTCAACAAGCTAGCAATTGACTAGTATTCAAACTCTTCTCTTATTTCCTCCAAAGTATGTGTGTGTGTTTTTTCAGGGAGAGTGTATGCAGGTGCAATTAAGGATCCTACAATGAGGGACAGTATCCTGGATTCCCCAGGTGGGCCATGAATTCAATCACAACTGTCCTTATAAAAGGGAGGCAGAGAGAGTTGACATACATGGAAGAAGAGGCAGTGTGACTACAGAGGCACAGATTGGAGTGATGTAGCCACAAACCCAGGAGTGCAGGCAGCCACTAGTGGTATTAAGAGGCAAGGAAAAGCTTCTTCCTAAAGCCTCCAGAGGGAGCACTACCCTGCCAACACCTTGATTTCATCCCAGTGCAACTGATTTTGGACTTCTGGCCTGCAGAACTATGAGAAAGTCAATTCCTGCTGTTTTAAGCCACCAAATTTGTGGTTAATTTATTACACAGTGTTAGAAAACTAATATGGTATATTTCTTTAAAAATTAAGAAGTACCAGGTTTTTTCTGTTACAAGCACTCTAATAGAAACAGAAAGTACTGAGACCATTACTGGATCTTAATGACATTATCCCAAGAGCAAGCATAACTCCAAAATTAATTCTAGTTCTATTCTGATCACTCACTGAGGAATCACAATGAACAGTTATTGAAACAGTGGAAATGTATTTCCCCTTATTTTTCGCCACAATAATTAAAATAAAAATGATCTGTGGGAGTTTTTAATAAAATATCCACGACACAACAGAGAAAGGAGAATTATCCTCAATTTGATGATACTGGTTTCCCAGTTCAGTTTTTTAAAGAAATATACATGTCCTGGCCCATAGGGAATATAGAAAATGGGCTAGTACAAAAAAGCCATGAAGCCAAGAATTAGACAGTAACATATACTTCTGTCTGGTGAATTATGCATTGACATGTTGTCACAAAAACTACCTAAAGCTTCAGTTTCCTCACTGGTAAAATGAGAAAAATGTTGGCCAGTTTCATCTACTTCCAAGGGAAACAATAAAGAACAAAAGCACAAGTGTTTGCCAAATTAAATGGAGCATATTTACTGCCAAATTAAACAGCTACTGCACTGTTACTACAGAGATATAGCAGGTTTTTTCAGTTATTTAGGACTTCTTTCTTGATAGGTGCACTCCTAGGCACTTTATAATACTTGTGGCAACTGTAAAAGAGATTTTACTTTCTAAGTGGATGTCGCTGGTACGTAGGGAAACTTTGAATTTTTGCTAATTGATTTTGCATATGTCACATTATTACACTCCTACGAATGCTTGTAATTGGTTTTTTTTCTTGGGCTTTCCAGGGATATTAAATTCATTTGTAAATAATGACAGTTATTTTACATTTAAAAAAATAATTTACAATAGATTTAAATACTTGGCCAGGACGGCCAGTTAAAAGACTGAATATCAGCAAGCACAGCATGAATCCTGGCTTCATTCACACTTTAATGAGGATGTTCCAAAGTTGCACCATTAAATACAGCTTGATACACCTTTTAGTAGCTGCCATTTTTACCAAATAGCGTTTCTTTCTATTTCTCATTTTGCTAATAGTTTGCTTGCTTGTTTTTAAGTACATTTTATTAAATGCCACTTGGACACCTATTGATAAGAATATATGGTTTTATCCGTTAATTCCTTAATGTCGGTGGTAACAGAAATGCGTTTCCTGAGGCTGAACCATGCTTGTCTTTTTGGAATAAGCCTTCCTAGGTCATACTACAGCATTCAGAAATACATTATTGGATTTGCTTTGCTAATATTTATTTAGAATTTCCATATTTAGAATGAAGTTGACTTATACTTTTTCTTTAGTGCCCTCCTCTGAGCTTTGGTATCAGATAACACCAGAACTTGCTGACGTGTAGAAAATATTTCCATATTTTCTATGCTCCAGAATTATGTAAATAACTAGTTCGTACTAGTTATAAAGCCATACCTTTCAATGGAATAACTCACTAAAAATGATTAAATTACAACAGTTCTGTTCTTTTAGCGGGCACACAATGTTACAAAGAATATTAAATATTAGTCAATAGTGTCCTGACCAGTGTGGCTCAGTGGTTGGGGCATTGGCCAGCACATCAAAGGGTTGCAGGTTCAATTCCTGTCAAGCGCAAGTACCCGGGTTGCAGGTTCACGCTCAGGCCCTAGTCAGGGCGAGTACAGGAAGCAACCAATCAATGTGTTTCTCTCACATCAATGTTTCTCTCTCCTCTCTCTTCCCCCTTCCCCTCTCTCTTAAAAAAAATAAATCAATGGGAAAAATATTCCTGGGTGAGAATTAACAAAAATGAAAATAAATATTTAGTCAATAGTACCAGATTTCAGTGCTAAACTTCATAACCAAAACAACTGTGGACTTTCAGGAATATTTATACCCTCAGGGGGCGCTGGTAGAAATTTGGGTAGGTGAGCAGGAAGCAGTAAAAAAGATGGACAAGGAATGGCCAGTGAGCCTGGAGGAAAGCCGGGAGCGAGCAAGATGACCAGAATCTTGGTGGCTCTTTTCAACAATCCGTGTGCTTTCCCGGAAGCCATGCAACTGTTGGAGGTNTCCCCCCCAGCCAGCCCCCCCACAGCGACCACCCACTCATTCGGCCCTTTCCTTTTGCGGCCTTGCCATGCACTCACACTGCTAGCTTCAGGATTCTATTTTCAATTTCTTTCGGGGCAGGGCCTTTTTCTATTTCTCCTGGCATCCCCCAGAAGGCCTTTTACATCATAGGCAACAACTCTGATTCC